GTGTATGCGTGTGTTATGGGGGGGGAAGTTATGTAGGTGTGTGTATGTGTGTGTGTGTATGTGTGTGGAGGGGGGTGGGGTGTATATGTGTGTATGTGTTTGTGTGTGCGCTTGTGTGTATATTGTCACATTCACACTTTCGAGACAGGTACAAAGTGAAAAATAATGTTGATAGTAGTAGTAGTAGTAGGAGGAGGAGGAGGAGGGGGGGGAGAAAGAAAAGGAGGAAGAGGAAGGCAATGATTGCAAAGGTGTGTTTGGAAGGGGGTTGGGGGTGCAGTCGAAGGAGGAGTCAGTGGAGGAAAAGGAAGATAGGGTGAAGGGAGGGAGGGGGGAGAAATGGAGAACGTTTCATTTAAACCGTTATACCGGTACGAGCTTTCTGCTTCTCTTTTGTAACAAACTCAGCTGCTGCTGCAAACCCCTAACACTGCGTCAGCTGCTGTTGATGACCGCTGACTTCGAAGATTAATTGGTCGCTTTTAAGGATACGCAGGCTAACCCAGATTTCAGGGGTTTCCAGAAATCTTGACCCCCACCAAAAGTGAGCATTGCCCTACCTATAGAAGAAGTTTGGTTTCATTGGTGTGTATATTTGTTTGGTTATAGAGAAACCTCTCTGTCTTTTAAAGAAACTGAACTAGGTGCAAAAACTATACCTTCGATTCTCTCAAAACAGCATTTTTCGGGATAGCCCCCTTGTGCTAAAAAGCGACCAATTGTGAAGCGTGCTGACAAAATGAATTACTTCTCAGATTCAAGCCTTATTAAGAAAAATTAAATAGATACATCACGCTTACAGGTGAAGTTTTTACAAATTAGGAGTTTGAATTTAATAACAAAAGGCAGGTTATAGTTTTTAAAAATATGGCGTAAAATCAAGAGGAAATCAACAAATTTGACACTGAAGTCGATTTTTGGTCAGCATCTCTATTTTCGAGAAGTAACTAATTTTGTCAGCTCGCCTCACAATTATTTTTTCGAGAGCAACAGCCTCACGTCTTATAACACAGTAAGGGACGTAATCAGAACGTGATTCCCAGGCACGCGAGTTCCTGCAGCTGCTTCCCTTATACTTGCTCATGCTGTCGCTGCACGTGCCTCCACTCGCGCGTCTAACCAATGAGCTGTTGAAGTATCGATTTTTGTGCTAATCTATTCAATATGGAGGTTGGCCTATGCATCTAATCCAAATTAGATCCAGTCGTTTGTTTTTACTCGCGTGAAAAGAGTTGGAGCATTTACCTGCGTGAAAAGATGCTGGATAGATAAATATTTCTGCCCCGTGAGTCGGGGAGAGCGAGGCAGTGTGTGCATTGTGTACTCCGGGTCGGCCTGCATTCGCTGCTCTAATTATGGGCCTTACTACTGGCCTTAGCCTAACGGCAAAGGCTTGACCATTCAGCGTGAAGATTCCCCTCCTGTGTGATCTCCTCCCCACTGCCAGCAAAGGATGGAGAAACCAGGGTAGCTGCCGTGCGTGCTATGTGTAGAGAAGACCTGGAAATTTGATGCACAATGTTAGCATCATTGCTCTGGCTTCGTAAAACGGATGGTGCCTGCGAATCGGTTTTCCGGGGGGTTTGTCCCCGTTGGTGGATAATTATTATGTGGATGAGTAAAAAGAATGCAAGGCTGTTTGGATCACCTGCTACTAAATCGTATACTGCTGAAAGGTGCAACAAAATGTGTGTGATAATTTGTGAAGTAGAAACTGTTTCTTGTGTTAAACACAAATGTTTCTTTGGGGAATCGTTCTTTTGATCTCTTGTTCAGTATTGCATTAGTTCAAGTCTTGTTATTTCTCTATGTCGCGGTTTCTGTCCCTGTCAGCTCAGAAGAAGAACAGGTTCCTTTCTGATTCTGCTAGAGCCTAGCTTTGATTGTGCCGACCCAGTTGTTGAATTTGATTCTTGCTGTTGAATATGTTTTTTAGACTGTATAATCTGAAGGTAAAGTGGAGATATATAGAGTTGTTTTGTTGTATTTTCAGTTATATCATTGGTTTATCAAAGAAGGGGGATCTGCGTGTATGCATCATGTTTGGTTGTGTGTGTGTTCTGGGTGCAGGTGTGCTGTCTTATCTATCATTCTCTTAGATTAGATCTCTAGATTCTAGGTCTTCAGATTATACCCAGACCTGTAGTTTTGAAACCAAAAAGAATATGTTTTTTTAAATCTTTCAGCAGACATGCAGAATTGTTTCTTTTCCAATCCTGTTTTACAGCGAATGATTGTATAATAAGATTGTCTTTGCAATCATGCTGGGTTCATGTTGCCTTCCTTTTAAATGGTTGTCTGTGAAAAGTTCGGGGGGGGGGGGGGGGGGGGGTAGAAATGTGTTTTTTCCACCAGTAAACCAAACTGCTTTTCAAGAGCAATGTTCACAACGGCTGTGTAGCCATAGATTCTGTCCTGGAATCATTGAGTCAGTATGATGGATGACGTGGTTGACAAATAAAGTACTCATGACAGGGCTCTTTCATCAGATTTCCAAGTTGCTAAATACAGATGTTGATTCATCATTTTAGCTCACTGTCAGAGGAATTTTTAAATCTTTGTCCGTTAGTTTAAAGCACAGGCTCAAATCTTTTCATATTATTTTAGCTGGACTTTTGACCAAAAATATAATCTAGCTCTTCGTCATTGAAAGAGGCCTTAGGTTAGGAAACATCATTGTGAAGTGTGAGACTTGATTCATTTTTAAAATAAAAGGCTTTAGTGCCCTCCCTTATTAAAAGAACGGAACAAATTCTCACTTTGAAAATAAATTAAGCTATTGTAGTGTATTATTCAGCAGTTTTATGCACACACAAAATCTAAAATAATGCAAACTGAGCACAAAATGTGAAATTATGCTATTCAGTTAATTTTAACAAAGAATGATAAAGGAAAATAATCAGAAATTATGCAAAAAATGATCAAATTTTGCTAAATTATGCGGGGTGCATAAAACCTCGGGGACAGATTGTCTACCGTGCCAGTTTTCATGCATGCTGTTGACCAGTTGGACTTTCTAGAGCTGTGTTTGTCTACCTTATATGTTCAGTGCTCACTTTTGTCGCCTACTTTAACCCTATCCGTACGCCCTGGGGTCATTTTGTAACCCCGGGGTTGTATTCTTCACATTTTAGAATACTTCTAGTATATTAAGATCTCTTGGAAACTTTCAGTATTTCTCAAAAATTCATTTTGACAGACTGCTGTGCCAAGCGTACAAATATCAGATTAACGAGTAAATTTCCTCTTGGAAAGTGGTGGCACAGAGTTCCCCACGTCGTAAGGATACGATAGTAAAACATGACATACGGATAGGGTTAAGAGGCTAAGGTTTGCGTACCACCCACCTAACATGTATTCCAAATAATGTAATATTAAATGATACTTGTCACAACTCGGATGATCCTCCCCGCTCACCAAAATTACCGAATTGCCCATTAAATTAGTGGGAGAGCTATTTCCAGGTTGGCAAGCACTTTTTGAGACTCATAGAGGCCTGCCTAGAAGTAGATGTTGTGAATCAGGGTATCATGCATAAAAAAAGTGTATTGTCACTCTCCATTTGACTGGCAGCAGAATAAAATCTGTTGTAATCCGTACCTATGTTAAAATGAAAGTCAGAAGACGCGAGTGAAAGTAAATTTTGTGCTCAACATTTTTTTATTTACCCTCTAAGTTTGAGCGCTGCCCCTCTTCTGAGTACCTGAGTTCCACAGGGTGAAGTGAGCGAGGGATACACACCACCGTATATTTAAGTTGTGTGTTTGGTTTGGGTCGTCGGGTTAAATCTAAGAGAGTAGGGCCTACACACTGTTTTTTAAAGATATATTTGTAATACTAGGGTATTATAATATATTTAGATTTTTCTCGGGGAATATTGTTTACTCCGTTCATACTGAAACGATGTCCGACAATTGTTTAGGTACTTTGGCTGTTTAAGAGAGTCTTCGGGGCTCTCCGTTCACTTTATGGATGGTTGATGGGTGCTCTTGTGTGGTTTGCTCCATCTTTCCTAGTGAACATTTATCTATCGTCTTTATCTCCCTTCATTATTTTTTGTGTTTGTACAAGTTCTTTATTGTAACACCTCTTTATCTTCAACACTCATATATGACCTTATTGGGTTGCTTGTGCCGTAAAACTCTAACTAAAACTCCGCTCCCATACGTCAAACAGAGAACTTTTAATCAGTAAAGGATATATATATGCATCTTGAGCCCTTTCAAAAGTAATCTTTTTTCGACTTTTGATTCTTGCAAGCTTGGACAGAGTGCATTCTATTAATATTATGGGTTGTTTGAAAGCCAATTTGAGCCCCTTCAGTTCTGTTTTTAATTCCATCTAACCACACACATACATGCACACGCACACGCACATACACACACACACACACACACACACACACACACACACACACACACATACTCACACACACACACACACACACACCTGGGGCTACATTTGGGTCACCATGATATTATGTGTGTAAGATGCTTTTAATTTACTTTAAGAAGAAGAGGTAATGTACTTCGTTGTGTTGAGATGCTTCTTGTTCTCAGACCATAACATGACGTCCTAAGAAATTATATTGTATAACAACGCAGTGGAATCAGGCGCTCGTCTGTTTTCGGGCATGTGGAGTGGTATCATCTGAAGACTGATTTATTTGCTTTGCTTCTAATGAAATAAATATTCATTTGTCTTGAATAGAACTCAAGATATAATAATTTATGCGATTGAAAGAAGTGAGGTCACCTGGTGTCAGTGGTGAAATTAGCGAGAAAAGGGCCGCCAAAATTTGGTAACTCCTATAGTTAAAGAGTCTTTGAAAACTGAAAAATGACATTCTGTGCCTTTATTCAATGTTTTTCAGTAAAATTCACACGGACATAAAAGAGGATAAGCCCAAAAATAAAAATTCAATAAAATTTTCTAACTAACAGGAAAATGCCTGTTTCTCCGATTTCATTTTTTTGATTTCGCCACGCTGAATATATCAAATTGAAGCATGCTGACAAAATGAGATAGTTCTCTGATTTCAGCCCTAAGGACATACATGCGTCAAATTTATAGATTAAATTTGTACAATCTATGACAGTATAAAATGTAAAATACATGTTCAACTTGAAGAAAATGGCACCAGTTGAAAATAGAGAGGGAGAAATCTGAACTCTGTGTGTATTTTCAACTGATATCTCCATTTGTGAATTTCTTTTACTTCATATTTTTATCTTTTTCTTCTTTCTTCTTTTAGCTTTTCCAGTAAGTCTGGGATGTTGCTTCGTTCTCTGACCTTTCTGCTATAAAATAAACACTGTCTCTTTTTCCCATTCTGTTTGTCTGAGTCGCTCTGGTTTTAAGCCAGGTTCCTTTAACCCTATCTGTTCGTCGTGTTTTTCTATCGTACCTATATGACGTGGGGAACTCTGTGCCACCACTTTCCAAAAAATAAATTTACTCATTAATCCAATCCATACGCTTTGCATAGTAGTCTGTCAAAATGATTTTTTGAAAAATACTGAAAGTTTCAAAGAGATCTTCACACCAGAAGTATTCTAAAATGTGAAGAATACAACCCTGGGGGTACAAAATGACCCCAGGTCGTAGGGATAGGGTTAATGTCTTGTTCCCATCATCTGTTAAGACTTGCCTTCATTTCCTGGCAGAAAACAGAAGGTGGAATCATTTTATATTTCATACTGCTAATCATTGATTTTACTTTACTCACAAGTAGCTAGCTAGCTCTATTCATGACCAAATGCTGTTCTTGCACCCATCATTGCTGTACCTATGACGTTGGATATAGTGAATTGAAAATGAGAAAAGCTTTAGATAGAGCGAACATGTTGGCTCTTTACCTTGTGTTTTTCTGCCACGTGAGACACACTATTTTTGTCATCATTTCGAACTCTGTGTTGTCTCCAAAACATGTTTGCTGTTTCTTCAGGCTTCAGACAACAACTGTGAACAGATTTTCAGAAGTCAGCGTTGAAATAAGCATAGAAATAAATTATGTGAACTTTTTTTTGTGTTGTCAGTGACTCAGTGACAGAAAATCTTTTGCGTACCATGCAACTTTACTTTCTTTTCTTTTTTCTTCCCTCTTTCAGGATCTAATTTTGTCTGGGGTTTTGCGAAGGGCATAATTGATTTTGAGCTGACAGCAATTGGACAGAGCTTAAATCCCCCTGATGACATATTATTGGCTGTAGAATGACATGCTATTTGTCAAGGGAAATAGAAATTGGATGTGAAATGGTTCAAAAATAGTAGCTCTTTAATTACTTTTTGAATAATCAGTGGAAAATGCTTTCAAAAGTCTTGGAATAGGATGGATAGTTTCTTTCATGGATTGATGAGGAGCTTTTCTAAGCATGGTTAGTTTTTTCATTACTTTTATACGATGTGGTATGTTGATGTAGAGTGGAAAAAAAATCATTTAATATGAAGTAATTTGTTAGTGGCTTCACTCTAGTCTTTTTATTTGGATGAAAATTTCAGTTCTGTTGTAAAGAATTTCAGATTAAGTTTTCTTATAGAATATAGAGGCTGCACTATAACAACCAATTTTTGCATTAATTTTTGTTTTTCTACTAGGGTTGTTATTTTTTTATTTAAATTTTACTTGAAACAAATTTCCACATTAATTTCTGTCTTCCAATTTCGTTGCTTGTGT